GGGGGGGGGTAGGAGGGGAAGGAGACAGTCAGGGCCAGCTCTTGGAAATGCCAGGACCCTCGCTGGGTGGAGAAAGGCAGTCAGGGCTTAGGGTGCAGAAGAAAGGACAGAAGGAGAAGGGTGTGCCAGGTGTGTGGAACAGCATGAACAAAGGCTTGGAGGCAGCCCCAAGAAAAAGGTGCATTCAAGACGCTGTGGGCAGGGGGTGGCCTATGAGACCAGGGAGAGAGACTTAATGGGTCCAGCCGCCTTTGCACAGCCCTTTATCCCGAGGAATGCCTCGGCCAGGCCCCTGTCAACCCTGCCAACGGTACCTGTCCCGGCCCTATCTCCGAGTTTTTCAACCACAGGGTAGCAGGTGCTGGTGAGGCAGGGATCTCCTGTCGGCAGTGACCCTGGTCCTGTCCACCCTCAACTCCTGCCTAGACCCTGAGTCAGCCTCCTCACTGTCTCCCTGCCCCTGCCCTGCCCACCCACCCCCACATAGCAGGAGGGAGCCTGGGAACGCCGGAGTCCCATCGGGCCCTCCTTTGCTCAGAACCTCCTCACGGGCTCCATCTCACTCAGAGTGGAAGCCGAGCCCTCCCTGTGATTCACGAGGCCCTCATCACCTCCCTGCCCCACCTCCTCCCACTGTCCCCTCACTCATGACTCCTCACACACAGCAGCCTCTGTCCTTCTTCGGGGCCATCGCACTAGCCATTCCCCTGACCTGGGATATTTCCCCCAAGTCTCCGCATGGTCATCCTTTTCATCACTCAGGTCTCTGTTCAAGCCTCTTCAGAGACCTTCTCCAACCACCCCGTAACACCCTCCTTTCTAACATAGGACATTTTATTTTCTTCTTCACCCTGATGACTCTCCAGAAATTATCTTATGTATTTATTTGCCGATCGCTTCCCTGGTAGCCTGAATCCATAAGAAAAATCTAGCCATGTTGTTAATCATTATATCCCCCAAGTTGTTTAAAAAAAAAAAAAGAATCTGACTCATTGAAGGTGTTGAATGGCCAGAGAAAAGTATTATTATCACACTTTTACAGATAAGGAGAGAAGATTCGTGGAGTAAAACTGTCTGCCCAGGGTCACACTCTACAAACTTGTTGCTAGCATTCACGGAGCCCTTTCTATGAACCAGGCACTGCGCTCAGTGGCTGTCACATATTTAATCATTTTGTCGAGTGGGTATGATCATTATTGCATCCTTGTTAAGGACGAGGGAACTTTGGTACAGAGAAGTAAGTAATTTGCCAGAGATCACACAGTTATTAGGTCGCAGAGCTGGGATTTGAACACGGGCAGCCCAGCTCTGGAGCCCACAGTATTAACTATCATGCTACACTTCCTCCAAGGAAATGTTAAATCAATGGCAGATTCAAACCCCGGCCTGCTGCCACCAAAACTTCGCTTCTAGGCCACAACCCTCCACTGTCCACAAAAAGCTTACTTGGGCCAAAACAATCTTGGAAAAGAACAACAAAGTTGGAGGACTCAAACCTCCTGATCTGAAAACTTACTACAAACCTACAGTAATCAAGACTATGTGATACTGGTATATGGACAGGCATACAGAGCAATGGAACAGAATTATACCCAGAAGTAAACCTTTACAGTTATGGTCAAGTGACTTCTGACAAGGGTGCCAAGACAATTCATTTATACATATGGTAGTGGGATAACTGGATATTCATGCAAAAGCTGGACCCCTACCTCACACCATACACAAAAAGTAACACAAAATGGGTCAGAGACTTAAATGTAAGAGCTAAAATGAAAAGACTCTTAGAACACGTGAGTAAATCTTCATGACCTAGGCATAGCCTTAGACAGCACCAAAAGCACAAACAACAAAAGAAAATACTGATAAATGGGACTTCATCAAGGTCAAAAACTTTGGTGCCATCTCATGGTATGTGAATTCTATCTCAATAAACATAAAGCCTTTGTTCTTTAAAGGACACCATCAAGAAAGTAAAAAGGCAACCCACACAATGTGACAAAATGTTTACAAATCATACATCTGATAAGGAACTAGTATCCATAATACATAGAGGAAGTTTACGATGCGACAATAAAAAGACAAATAACCCAGGTTGGCACCGAATTGGAATAGATATTTCTCCAAAGAAGATAGAGAAGTGGCCAGTGAGCATAGGAAAAGATGTTCAACATCAGTAGTTATGAGGGAAATGCAAATCAAAACCGCAATGAGATACCCCCTCACACCCACATCTTTTGGCTATAACCAAAAGATGAACAAGTGTTGGTGAAGATTTAGAGAGACTAGAACCTTCATACGTTGCTGATGGGAATGTAAAATGGTGCAGGGGCTTTGGAAAACAATCAGGCAGTTCCTCAGAAGTGAAACAGTTAACATTTGACCCAGCAAGAGAACTGAAAACATATGTCCACACAAAAACTTGTACCACACATCTTTATAACAGCATTATTCGTAATTGCCAAAAAGATAGATAACTCAGATATCTATTGATTAATGGATAAACAAAATGTAGCACATCCTTACAATGAAATATTACTCAGCCATAGAAAGGAAATACTGATATATGCTACAGCATGGATGAGACTTGAAAACATGCGAGTGAAAGAAGCCAGATACAAAAGGCTGCCTATTGTACAATTCCGTTCACATTTAATGTCCAGAATAAGTAAATTCATAGGAACAGAAAGGAGATTAGTGGTCTCCAGAAGCTGGAGGAAAGGGGTACAGGGTTTCTTTTTAGGGTGATGAATGTGTTCTGGAATTAGATAATGGTAACGGTTGCACAACTTTGTTAATATGCTAAAAACTACTAAATTGCACACTTTAACTGTTGAATTTATGTGAGTTACATCTCGATTTTTTTTAATGGCAAAAAAAAAAAAAAA